AAATCCGTTTTTCCAAAAAACTTAGCAATCCTTGAAATTTTTAAAACTTTTTTGATGACATCTTGGTGAACATCCTAAGGCGCAACTTTGCCCCAATTTAACCAAGTTCGTATCTATTGCGGTTACCTCGCAACTTCTAGAAGTAAAAGTTGTCTCTTCATATTTTGTCCATTTCGCTTTTCATTTGATTCAAGTCTAATAGCAACCTCGAGGGGTGTCTCACTCGGGTAAAAAATTTACACGTACTGCCAAAATATCCTTCCACTGCTAAGCGACTGCCAATGACTATGAAGAAGACTGCTTATGACTGCCATGTAATTATTATAGGCGACTGCCATAAGACTGCCAATGACTGCCAGCGACTGCCAAGAAAATGTACAGGTAATTCCAATAGTGAGACACCCCTCGAGCAACCTTTATAAAAATTTAATATCATTAACTTGCAAAAATTTTAAAAAGTACTTTTTGATTCCTCATCAAAAAATATGAAAAAAGTTATTATAAACATTGCTATGGAAATGCATAGTTTCATAATTACAGGGTGTTAAAACTTTTTAAAATTATTTTTTTTGTAACAATTATCTTAAATATCATTATTTTTTTATTTGAAATTGCTGTATGCTGGACTAATGCTAATGATAACTAACAGTAATAATATTTAATAATAAATTAGGTAAAATATAAAATTTATTAATTATATTAATTGTGATTAATAAACTTGCGTTTATCTCATCCAGGAGGCCGAAGTGAGCAAAATATCAAGAGATAACTTTTAATTGGCATTGAACGGTCTACACAATTTTGATATCAAACGAAAAAAGTCAGTGGCGCACATTTTTTTTTGAAAATATCCCAGTGATAACCCATATGCACGTCCCTGATGCATTTATTAACACTTTTTTAGCATTAAAATATGTAACATAGTAACACCCTCAAAATTCCATTCAAATCACTAAAAGTACTCGGAAGGAAATTATAATAAATCGAAAGATTATTATGACTTTAACATCTTGTAGCTACGAAACAAAGCAGAATCGGAACTATGTTGGTATGAAAAATAAGTCTTATTTTTATGTGAGGAATCTACCTACGAGAGATGGCACATATTTTTTGAAACACCCTGTATAATTTTTGTTTTTCGATTAGAGGCAAATCATCAATAAGAGGTCCACAGCCTACTAGATCAAAGTGACGAAGTTTTAAAAATTCTGTATTTCAACGGGAACTATAACAAAATATTAAGTATGCTATATTTTTGTAAAGGTAATTTTAAGTTCTTTTCACTTAATTAAAAATATTCCCAGAGTGTCCCAAATAAAAAATCAATTTTTCTAGTGATAACTCGAAACTTATTATTAATTTTAAAAAAATTATACTTAAATCATTAAATTCTACGTAAAAAGGTGTTTTGGAAATGTTTTCATAATACATACAGAATAATACAACAACATGAAAAGTAATGTTTTTGTTTTAACTTACATACTTACGGCTACGACTGTCGACTGCTTCAACGTATCTGTACCCCAGAAGCAAACTATAGGGAACTTCTAGGGTACAAGATCGGGTACAGGTATGTAGTTTGTATACTAATACCACCGTACGTATTAATAATACCAACTAATACTAAATCGCTGGTGCGTCCGGACTGAATTCGTCTGTGATCGAGTCGCATCGGCTGCGTCTCGACTGCTAGAGCGACCAGTTAAATCGCAGTCGCTGCGTAATTATGGCGCGTTTTTTACCAACTACGAAATTTTAATAGAAGAAATAAATAATAGCCTTCCAATTACGAAGATGAAAATTATAAGAATTTTATTTTTTCCCTGATTAGGCAACTTTCTTGGACCCATTTACTTCGAGATTTACTCCTACGCCAAAATTTTTATAATTGTTATTCTCGAATCATATATAGATGGGTATATTTGTATTTCTTTGGTTGAAATTTCAAAAATTATTTTTTTTTTATAAAAATGAGGAATTTAAAAATTATTCAGAGTTTCTATTTTGCAGAAAAATAGTAATGTGTACTTATTCAGGCCTATGTTATATACGAAACATATAAACTATAATTAATCTAATTCACTGTCTATTTCTTTAATTGGTGCGTCTCGATTCTAGATCGAGATGCACCGGGCTCGAGGTGGCACCGAAATTACACCTCAACTGCGATAGCGAAAAATCGTAGTCGACAGTGGCAGTTGTTTTAGCCCGGCGCCGCCGCCGACGGTACAGTGTGCGTTTTTGCGACTGTGGCAGGCGCTCTGTGTAGTTTATTTATGGTCGATGCCGGTGCCGCGCGTTTCTGCGGCAACCACAAAAACGCGCAGTGTATAACCGGGATTAGTCGTACCAGTAAAAAAGTATGTATTATATTTTTTTCTGATAGAATCTACAAATTTTGCGTCACTGACAATTTTTACCATATCGAAATCTAACATTTCTCTAAACAATTTGAATTATTACAAAATCTTTTAATCTTAATATATAATATCATATCGAGAGTCACAAGCTCGGTCACAAGGCATGGATCTCGTATGATTTTCTAATAAAATTATATTATTTTTTAAAACAATTTTTGCGATATTTTCACCAAAAATAATTCAAAATATTTCATTTGATAATGAAGTATTGATATCTCGGCTCTATAAGATAATTCGTTTAAAAAAAATTATATGTAATAATTTAATATAAAATTGGGTATGTTTAAAAAATGATACGAGTTACTGCACTGTGACCTTCGATATGCAAAAAAGTTACCGAATTGTACAAAAATAGGGTATTCTCATTAAAAATATATGTTATATCCGAACGACAATCAACAATCACAAATCCAAACATTTTTTGAAGTACCCTGTATACTCTACAGTAATTTTAAAATGTGCTTCTTAACCTTCCCTATAACTTTTCTGTTTAACATTTTGTTCCAAAAAGCGTTAAAAAAACAAAACCAAAACATTTTTGATATACCTTGAAGTCGTTAGCTTTTCATTATCTATTATACTGCAGTTATTATGAATTGATTTAACATCATTAACCGTAAAACAAAAATCTATCTGAATGTATGTGAAATTTTCGAGAAAATTTTCTTTTACCCTTAAGTTTTTTTTACATTAAATTGAAAAAAATATATATATATTTGCTTCAAAGTTTTTATACAAAACATCCCGAAATTTGCCGATTGACTTCTGAATTCCAAGAGACTGTCAGTGACTGCCGCGACTGCCAATGACTGCCGCGACTGCCTAGCGACTGCCAAGCGACTGCCGATCGACTGCCGAGCGACTGCCTATGACTGTCATGTAATTATAGGCGACTGCCGTAAGACTGCCAAGAAAATGTACATGTAATTCCAACAGTGAGACACCCCTCGGGGGTTGGTAAGGGGGTATGGGAGGGGTTAAAAATTTTAAAAAATCGTAACTTTAAAATTACAGTAGCTAGCGAAACAGGGTTTTCAATTTAAGATTAGAAATAATATGAAGGGTACCGGGGAAAAACGGGCTAGGTCAATTTTTAGCGAAATTGAGATATTGATGTCATCTAATAGAAAATATGTTAAATTTTGTTCTAAAGATAGCTTCCATGGCAAGAACGCGATAACTCAGAAGATATTAAACAAGAAAAATATCCCGTACAGGGGAATAACGTGACAAGTCCGTGCGGTACCGGGCAAAAACGGGCTAAGTCGTGTTTTTACGCGCCTATTCGATAGCGTTCTGGTTGCCATTTTAATCGTTTTGCCAATTTGCAGAGTTTAAAAAGTTTTATGGAAAGGAAGCTCAGGAGTATTTTACCTCACTGGTGCATAATTAGTTGAGAAAATTGGTGACTTCTCTGCTATAAAACAAATTCCAAGGTAAAAAAAAATTACTTTTTTACACGAATCAAAACATTAATTTTCCATTTTAGATCATCGGATCAATGTCAGAATAACTAAAAAATAAAATATTATTTTCTAGTTTTTGTTCTGTTTCTCTATATTATATATGTAGGCATAAATCTGGTTATTAAGTGAAATAAAATACTTCAAAATACAAAAGTATTATAAATTCAGAAAAAAAACGGGCTAAGTCATGACCATTCACCAATAAATTTTTTATTTTTCTATCAATTTTTTTTTCTTAAAGCGAAAACTTTATGACTCAAAGATCCGAGATAGTTAGGGAACATATGGGTAAAAAATAATTTTTTAAATTGAAATATTGTATTTTTTGCAGCGTTTTGAACTTTAAAATTGCTTTATCTCAAAAGCATTAAATTTGACTTAGTCCGTTTTTCCCCTGTACCCTTCATATTTGCAACAAAATTTGTAATAACATCAAAATCAGTCAAAGTCGCAGTTTTTGAGATAAAAAAATTGAAAAAATTCCTTTACTTTGAAACTGATAGAACTGCATACCAAGTTTTTATTAACATATTTTAGTATGGGCGGTTATACGTGCTTCCCGGCGTCAATTTTTTCTAAATGTATGTACCTAAGTAAAATTTTGAAACTTAAAGAACCACAGACCATTATCATGTTTCACAGTCAGAGACAACACAGGGATATAAGTTACATATTAATTCAAAAATATCACTAAAGTTACTACAAAAATTAGAGTTGGGGGTTGGAACCTTTAGAAAAATTGCAACGTAAAATGTTTGTGATATAACATGTTTGGTGGGTAGTGATATATTTAATACCTATAAGTAAATACTGCCCCTACTGCCATCCTGTTAATGGGTTTTAAATATATCTAAGGCTCTGTTATAATAAAATATGTTACTTTCATGATGAGCTTTTCAAAAACTGGAACAGACCCGTCCAAAACTTTTGATACGGTTTTGCTTTGTATCAGTCCGTTTTTAAGAATATTTCTTGGATAGTTCTCCAATTTAAGTTTTTCAAAATAACCAAACTATATTTTTTAATACGTGGATTGTATTTTTTAATTACATTTCTTTAGCATTATTTATAATAGTCAGAATTTAATGCTTCTATTAATTCTCGATTTTTTCAGACAACCGGTATTCCATTAGAAGTTGCTGCCAGACTGCAACTAAACTTGATGTTAAAACCAGTCACAGGTGTATCGTAAGTATTATTCATAAATTTCAATATTACAATAATATTTACAGATTACCAATCGGATTTTTTTTCGACCTTGAATATTATTTCTATCAATATCTCTTCGTCGATTTATATAGAATTTTTTAGCCTTATACCACAGATAACATAGTATACAGATGGTTATTGTGCTTATGGAACACATATTTTCGACGAGTCAGCAAAACTAATAATAATTTTAAAACAAACGAATTTGGAGCAACGAGAACAAATAGTCGAACCGTTGATTGAAGAAATAAGAAGATGCGTAACCTTATGGGCGATTTAATGACACAAAACATGTCCTACATGTAGATGGCGTTACCGTCAGCTTGTCTGAGAAGTCCGAGATTTAGTTTAGCTCTGCGCCGCTGCGCGCTGATCGTTTAAAGCACAGCGGATAAAGAATACTGTACCGTAGTTCTGCTTTCAGTCGACTGAGTGAGTGGCTGCTGGAGACAGTATTGCCAGAACTACTGATTAATCCGTAGATTTACGGATTTTGGGCACAGTACGTTAATAATACGGATTTTCATCATTAAACAAATTAATATAATATTATATGATTAAATAAAGAATGGCGTCAGCGTTGGATTAGAAATGGAGATTAGTGTTATTTCACATGTAAAATATTAATAATAGTCATTTTCAAGCCAACTAAACGACATTTTTCGATCATGCGACATATTTGGTACATATAAAAGAATTTTTATTTTTGTGGTTTATTCTATGTTTAATACGAATAAAATTTTAATATATAAAGGCGGATTTTTCATCCAAAGATTATTTTCGTCAAACGTATTACATGTATTACACATTTTAATATGGAAACTCTGACGCTTTCAGATCCACACCGTCTTCGATATGCCTTCGCTGTCCGAATTAGTTAAAATAAGTGTTTTATGCGTTGACCGCAGAACGATTGGTGTCTCCACCGTACAGCACTTGAGACGTAAGGGGAAATCAAATCACTCACCGTCATCAAAATTCTAACTTGTGGATAGGGATTACCCCAGTAGACATAACCAGGTGACCAAAATTCTACATATGCAGTTGGCTCTAAAATATAAATTTATTAATGATCCTGATCCCTATTACAAATACTCACCTGTAGCAGTTCTAGAGTCAACGGGCACCGTATTATACTCGGACCATCCTATAGACAGAACGGCGGAATATAATCGACCAGACAGAGTATTAATCAATAAAGTCAATAAGATGGCGTCTATAATTGAGAATGGTATTCCCCGCTCTCATAACATCCAAAAAGTAGAGCAGGAAAAGTCTGTTAAATACCAAAACCTTGCCTTCGAACTAAAACGCTTGTGGAATCTAAATTTTGTGAAGATAGCGCCTGTAGTAATTTCCGTTGAAGGTGTTGCCACGAAAAGATTAATAACTAATTTGGAATCGATAGATTTGCCAAAAGGCTTCTCAATATTAATTCAAAAGAAATCTATTTTTCAAACATGTCACCTAGTTAGAAAGTTTCTATCGCTGTAAAATTGTTCGGTTGGAGTAAATTCTCTCTTAACAATTTTAATACTTACCGATAAAAATCGATAAACAGCAACAAAAAAATAATAATAATGGCTTTATTTTGTAAAATCGCTTATATCTGGGGCTTACTCAACCGGGTCTCACAATGCAAATTCACCTCAAATATTCATTTAGTTGGTCATTGGCAAGTACTCACATGAAAATAACAAAACAAACATTTATTGATCTGGATAAAATTGATAGCTAAATAGTAAGACTCACCCGAGGGTACTCCGCCCTCTAGCCACTGACATTCTATTCAATGTATCCCGTTCCATATCTTCTATCTAATTCAAATATAATTCGGATCTATTGATCTATTGGTTAATAATCTTCAACAACTAGCTAGTGTCACCTGAAATAGTATAGGGACTTCCCCCGGACGTAAATCTGCCGCTAAACAGATTCGCATCCCAATCCAATAGGCTAATTGGGATACCTCACTACCCCAACGCCGAATCGTGTCAATCGTGAAGACAAGGGAGACCTGAAACTCTCAAAACCAACCTCGAAGGCAAGACGTCACAAGAAGTTTTCTTCGTTGCCTTACAGTACATGCAATTTTTATAGTCAAAAGACTCGCAACCCCCAAATGTCAGCTCTGTGACAAAACACAACGCAACAGCCGGCCAACCCGTCTACTACTGACCCGCCGCCGGCAAGCTAAGCCTTCAAGCAAGCTTTTAAGATCACAAATATTTACATCGCTTGCCAATGAATCATACTATTTTCTCTAATCGACTTTCAAATAGAGTGTTTTAGTATTACTAGATAAATAAATAGAGAGTTTCCGAAGGAATGCATATTCTTTATTAGAATAGTGAATAAATAAAAGCATTATTATAACAAACTTATTTTCCAAGTTTTACATTTGGCCAACCTGAACTTAGTTGCGCCCACGCAACTCTAATCTGACAGTATCTCTGTCTTCTTTTTCTAGCATCCCAAATCTTGTCTCTGACAACTCTAATCTGGCCTCTGACAACTCTGATTCGTCTAATAAAATAAAACAAACAATTGACAACTACACAAACGTCACAAAATTAAACCCTCAAATAAAAGTGCCTTACACACTTGTTGTCTCACACACAAGTCCTAGAACAGATGTCATGCGAATGCATACAAAGTTAGAAAATTAAATCAACACACACAAAATAAAGGACACAGCGTATAAAACAGTAGTTAATGACAAAAATATCTGCTGTTTGGGCGATGGACGATTATGGATAGCTCAGGAGTGTCTTTAGATGAATACCAGAGCAAAATTGAATGAATCTTATTAAAAACAAAAGAGTGTTTGTAAGTTCTTCAATCAAATACATAGGCAATAAAATGTCCTATTTTAGTGATGTGGTTAAAAATAAACAGCGGCATTAACACAAAAAATTAGTAAGTTGACTAAAAACTGCATAATAGAAAACAACGAATCCCCGACTAACACAAAAGTAAATCGGCTGCACACCATATTGTTAAAATAAAATGCGATACAGAGAAATCGCCGCAAAACTCTACCAAGCAGTAAAAAATACAATCTCTGATACATATTACGATATTAAAATGCCTTTGAAAAGAAAAAACCTTAAGAGTACAAAACAAGTACGAAAATTGTTTTAATGTTACATTGGAGTGCTCTAAACAACCTTTTGATTTGTGGTCTGTTAACTTTGAGATGAAATCTAGGATCGACACTGTGCATTCAAGCCTTTTGATTGCCAGACAAAGCTTAAAAGATTTTCACTTGAGTGCGACACTTTCTCTGTTTACTAGTATGTAAACGTATTATTTCTTTATATGGTGCAGATACAGCCATATAGCGAACAACTACCGTATTTCCAGATCAATTTGTCCAAACTGCAGCGGAGATCATTATAATATAAGTTTGTACAGCCTAGATAAACATGTTCAAATTGTGAATATACAAAAGAGATGTTGAAGATTAGAGATATTGACATGAAACATACATATTGAAGAACTCTAAATATATAAGATGACAAACACAACAGAGAATTGAATAGCAGTTTTTTTTGGTTCATGAAGGGTTTATGTTTGTATTTAAATGCTGCTGGTATAGTAATAAAATGTTTGAACTGAGAAACCTATTTGAATCAAGAGAATATCTTATTGTATTTCTTACACAACGCACATATCAGATACTTTTGTAAATAGTGAAATATCAGTTGCTGGTAACAGGCAGTCTGTTTGGCAATCGAATAACCGTCACACAGTTGGTGCAACAATACAGGTGGTGAGCTAAATCCCAGCGACTGTACCAAAAGACGTGGCTAACATGGGACACCACTGTCCTCGATTGCTACAAAGCAAAATCAACAATAGAAACGCCATTGTCAGCGCCGTACATCGCCAAATAGGATTGTAGAACCACCTTCGAGAGGAAATAATGGATTATCTCTTGATAACACCCTACAAATCAACTATTGCAGGATATTTCAATGAATGTTGGAAAACAAACGACACTAATAAAAGATATCTAAACCCTGTCAGATATCAATTACTGATACACGCACTACCCACAACAGCTACTAAAAAAAACATAGTTACCCCCAAAACGACATAGATTACGAAACCATAAAACCTCACAACAGAGAGATGTGGCATATAGAACATCAAAGTGAATAGTCGCCAAATCAACAATCTTATATACGCTGACGATGCAGTAGCAATGACAGACAGCAACAAAGATCTGCAGAATCTATTTCGAAGAATCAATGTCTCCTGCAAACTGCAAACGATACGATCTGAATACGAATTTCATGAAACAAAGTTCGTGGTTACGACAAAATACCAAAGTATAATTATTAATATATCCATAGAAAATGTGACGATAGAAAAAGTCCAATACTACAAGCACTTGGGCACAATAATAAATAAAACTGTCGATCATAAGAAGTAAAATCGAGGATCGAGATAGCCCGAAGCTTTTCTAAAACTCAAGAAATTTCTTTGCAGTAGAAACATAAACTTTAACCAATTAAAAACAAAAATGCTCCGATGCTTCGTGATGTCAACCTTATTATATGCCACCGAAATATGGACCTTTAGGACAACCAAAATTGGTGACTTCCAAAAGATGATCTTACTGTCGCATGTTACGAATTTCTTGGGCTGATAGAGTTACAAATATCGTAGTGCTACGCCGTATGAACAAACAAGAAGAGATTTTGAAAACCCTTAAGAAATTCCTAAGAGATCCCAAGTCTCAGTTACTGCAGAATATTCTGTGGCGGGGAAAAAATCTAGGAAGGACGTAATCAAGGCAGAAGAACATTCTGGCTGAAGAACTTCAAAGAGTGGTGGCAAAGAGATGGATTATTTAGAACACCAATAAAATAAAATAAAAACAACCATTCTGATAGCCAACCTATGTGAATGCATATTTTTTTGTCGACAATGTCGAATGATATTTTCCGTCAGCCTATAGTTACATAAAC